TTAATTCTGTGAATGGATTTGTCTTAATGTGGCTTTTTGATTAAAATGACTATGATTCCATGAAGAGAAAATATGTTTCAATAGACTCTATGCCACACAACCATGGACATTAAGTTAGGCCAGTGAATTACCTTCAATTTTATTAAGTTATAAAAAAAAGCTGTTGCCCTGGCTGCTGTGGTTTAGTGGATTGAGTGCCAGCCTGTGAACCAAAGAGTCACTGGTTCGATTCCCAGTCAAGGTCCATGCCTGGGTTGCATACCAGGTCCCCAGTAGGGGACATCTGAGAGGCAACTGCACATTGATATTTCTATCCCTCTCTTTCTCCCTTGCTTCCACCTCTGTAAAAATAAATAAATAAAATATTGAAAAAAATAAAAAAGAAAACCTGGATGCCACTTTTTCTGGCTTCTTCAATAATATTGAGATTATTCACACAATTTGATTTCTCCATGTTAAAGTCCTACTCTTACTCAGGGAGTGCCAGTTCCAGGCACCATCTGCACTTTCATCTGTGCCCAGGCCTCATCTCCCCTCTGATTGAGAACAAGGGACGCTTGGCTCTGAAGGACAATGGAATCCCTATTCAGCAGGAAGCACTTGCAGTTGTAGGAATCATCCAATGCCATTATTTTTTTTAAAAGAATTCATAGGCAAAATTCTTGAGCAGGAAATAGTGTAGGCAATAAGACAAAATCACAGCAAGAATGAAAGGTCAGGAGTGGCAAAAAAAAAAAAAAAGAATGATAGGTCAGGTATTGATGATCACAAAAACAGAAATCTCAGGTGTCCAACAGCCGGCATATGAAGACAAATAGCAAAAAGTGACACATAGGCAGATGGTAAACTGGCAAGTTGACTAGAATAATAGATGTGAGAGCCCAGGATCTCCTGTAGACACCTCCCAAAACATCATTATTTCTGCACAGGATCCAAAGATATACCTAGCATCCATGAACTATGTATCAAACACCAAATTGACTAAAATAACCCAGTCTTGGTCATAGGGGTAATAAGACAAATACAGGAACAAGCATACGTAAAACCACTAAAATGCCAACTCAGAGATTACAGTTACTATCATACTGCTTTCTCTATTGGCATGAATGTCCCATCCTTCTGCTGGAATTTGTCTTGATCTGTAAGTTGCTGACCCAAAAAAACATTTCTCCTAAAAGGGAACAGCTTTCTCTCAGCTCCTGTGGGAAGATGCCCTCAGCTCCAGATGCCATTAACCTGTTCAGGGACATAGAGTGAGACCTGTTCCCTCACGAGATCTACAAGCAAGTATGTAAAATGGTTTGGGTACATTGGACTACAGTGTAATCAATCAGCATTCACCCAAATGGCCTGAGATTTACCCGGAGAAATACCAGACAATGAATATTTCTATGATGTACTTCATTACTCTGACAGGGACCAGCTACACATAAGTATTTCAAAATCTCCCCACAATAATAACCACTAAGCTGATAAAACATGCAACATACGTTCTAATATTAAGAAATCTCTGGACTCTCTAGCTAGAGTTGTCTTACATAATCAAATTGCTTCAGGCTACACACTAGCAGAATAAGCAGTAATTTCCATGACAATGAACCCCTCTTGTTGTTCTTTCCATTCTCAGATGGAAATAAGCATCACCTAAATCAAGCAACAGTCTGCCTGCCTGATGCACACAAAATATGAAGCATCACTCTCCTCTCCTTGAGACACCTGGAAGTTGGATTAGTCTATTCCATGAATTCCACAAGGACTCACTTCCATGTTAGCAGAAAATTTTATTTTATTTTATTATTATTTTTAAATTTTATTGATTATGCCATTACAGTTATTCTATTCCCCCTTTATTCCCCTCCACCCTGCACCCCGCCCCCACGATCCCCCCTTCAGTTTATGAACACGTGCCTCAAGTTCTTTAGATTCTACATTTCCCATACTATTCTTGCCCCATTTTCTACCTACCCTCTATGCTACTTATTTTCTGTACCTTCTCCCTCCTTCTCTTCCTCCCACTTCCCTGTTGCTAACCCTCCATGAGATCTTCATTTCTATGGTTCTGCTCCTATTCTAGCTGTCCTTTTAGTTTGCTTTTGTTTTAGGTGTGGTTGTTGTTAGTAACTGAGTTTGCTGTCCTTTCACTGTTCATGTTTTTTTAACTTCTTTTTCTTAGGTAAGTCCCTTTAACATTTCATATAATAAGGGCTTGGTGAGGATGAACTCCTTGAATTTGATCTTATCTGAGAAGCACTTTATCTGTCCTTCCATTCTAAATGAAAGCTTTGCTGGATAGAACAATCTTGGTTGTAGGTCTTTGGATTTCATGACTTGGAATACTTCTTTCCAGCCCCTTTTTGCCTGTAGGGTCTCTTTTGAGAAATCCGCTGACAGTCTGATGGGAACTCCTTTGTAGGTGACTGTCCCCTTAGCTCTTGCTGCTTCTAGGATTCTCTTCTTCATTTTAATTTTGGCTAATATAATTATGATGTGCCTTAGTGTGTTCCTCTTTGGGTCCAACTTCTTTGGGACTCTCTGAGCTTCCTGGATTTCTTGGAAGTCTATTTCCTTTGCCAGATTGGGGAAATTCTCCTTTATTATTTGTTCAAATAAGTTTTCCACTCGTAGCTGTTTCTTTCCCCCTTTTATTTTTATTTTTTAGAACAGAAAGTAGTTTTATTATTTTATTTATTTTTATTTTTTATTTAATTATTTCTCAAGTACAGTTTTCTGTCTATATCTCCCATCCCAGCCCACCCCATACTCCCCACCTCCCTTCCGTTTCCACCTCCATTAGTTATTGTCCCTGTGTTCTTTATGCTTGTTTCTTTTAATCCCTCCCCTTTCTTCCCTTAAATTCCCTTCCCTCTCCCCTCTGGTCACTCCCTCTGTTCTCTATTTCAGTGTCTTTGTTTTTATTTTGCTTGCTTGTTTGTTTTATTGTTTAGATTCCTGTTCAAGGTGAGATCATATGGTATTTGTCTTTTAACACTTGTCTTATCTCATTCAGCATAATGCTTTCCCATTCCATACATGCTGCTGCAAAGGTTAGTAGCTCCTTCTTTCTCTCTGCTGCATAGAATTCCATTGTGTATATGTACCATAATTTTTGATCCATTCATTTACTGATGGGCACCTAGGTTGCTTCCAACTCTTGGCTATTGTAAATTGTGCTGCTACGACCATATTAGGAGAAAATTTTAATGTAAATTTAACCATTCTTTTATTTTTAATGTGTATTTTTATGTTGAAGCTCTTTATGCCTTGTCTTCCCCATGCAAGGGAAATTGAATATGCTGAACAGCCACCTCTAACAATGTATCTGCTTTTAACTAATGAGACTTTTTTTACAGTAGTCTCAGGATTTTCATTCCCCAAAATAATCAGAGGACATCACTATCTGCATAGATATGGAGAAATAGTTGACAGTGGTAATAAACAGGACATGAAAATTTCATACTGGTGTGACTTTCCACTAAATGGAATTAGAATAAGATGCACTACGAAACTTCTAAAATTCATACTGACAATGTCTTTGTAAGCAAATTTCAAGCACCAGCATTTCCAGTCTTGCTTGTATAAGAAATGGCGTTGACCATGATTCCAGGTGACACAGATCATTAAACTACAGGAAACTGGCTAGCACCAAACATTTCCAGGAAGCTGGAATTAAAGGTCCATGTTTGGTCTAACAGGTCACTGCCTGTACATCCACAGTCTCTTATGATCTTTTCATTCTCCTTTTCCTCTACTTCTTTATAAATCCCCTCCCTGCCCTAAAATGTTATGATAGCCTCTGAGAAGAGTTCCTCTTCTTCCAGCTTGCCAACCTCTGAATAATACCTCTCTCCTTTACATCTACACCTGAACCTTGAGTATTGCCTTTTGGAGTGACATGGACCTGCATTTGGTTACACCAGAATGGTTACTTGTGGAGAGGGCCCTCTTTTAGGTTGACACAAGACAAACTCTTGCTGGGCCTTCACATTGTGGAAAGATGAGCCATCTCTCTGAGCTCATTGAGAAAATCACTAACTCACTTCCTGGGGCACTCTCATGACCTAAGCATCTCCCCAAACCTCACCTCTTAATACTATCCTCTTTGAGGATCAATTTAAATTCAACATATAAATTTAGATTGTTTTCATACCACAGCACTTCTGTGGAGCCTCTGGAGAAATTGTGGTCCTGCCACAACCTTGATCTTAGTCCAGTGAAGGGTTTCATGTGCCAACCTCCAGACTGCATAGATTGCAACTCAAATGTAGAGTAATTGATTCAGTTGCTGTAGGAACATAGTACAGGATGAATGAAGATCTGCCGTTGTCAAGGGTGTTCCTCCCCTGATATTTGTTTTCTTATGACATAACTCATCACTGCTTAAGAACAGGGACACTCACAGGGTTGTGATCTCAAGCGAGAAGTTTCCTTTGGACCTCATCCTGAGGGAGAACTGGAAGAACACTGTGATGGTGTAGACTGTGCTGGAAACTGGGACATTTGTCAACCCTTAAATTTACTTCCAAAATGGCATCTCTGTGATGCTTGGATACAGTCAAGGACATAAAAAATCATCCTTGGTTTCCATGCACTTACATTTCCCCAAGTACAATTCTATTTATCAGAAATAAGGGAATGTCATAGACTGTGCTAGGCACCACTACAGTTCAAATCCCCAAACCTGATCCCGACCAGTAATTTCCAGATGGCATCTTGATGAATAACCTTCATTTAGAGGATAAGGAGGTTCCAAAGTGCACCTGCACAATCACACCAAATGAGAGGGCCTCTGTCAGGAGCATTTTTCCCGGCCTCTTCCTCTAAATGTTCCTGGTGTCTTGAAACTTCTCTGAGTTTCTGATGTGCCCCTTGCAGCATCAACCCTGCTCTCGGGTTCTTGACTGTGTATGAGGAAGTCAGGAGGCCCATCATCCTGTCCTCTTTTCAGACCAGCCCAGCTGTCCCATTCTTCAAGGTTTTTGACACACTCAGGAAGTGGGTTGTCACACTGTGTCTCTTGCACAGTAATACACAGCTGTGTCTTCAGACTTCAGGCCATTGATCTGAAGATAGGCAGTGCTGACAGAGGTGTCCATGGAGAATACAAAGCGTTCTGAGAATCCCTGAGCATATGTGGGTTTCCCAGTGTATGTGTTTATCCAGCCCATATATTGCAGAGCACCTGCTGGGGCCTGTCGTACCCAGTTCATGCCATAGCTGGTGAAGGTGTATCCAGAAGCCTTGCAGGAGACCTTCACTGAGGACCCAGGCTTCCTCACTTCAGCCCCAGACTGCACCAGCTGTACCTGGGAGTGGACACCTGTGGAGAGGAGACATTAGTGAGTGTATATTTTCCTTGATTGTCCCTGTTACCCTCCTCAACCCAGGGGCTTAGGACCCCTTGCCTGTAGCCATAGCCATCAGGAAGAGGACTCTCCAGCTCCAGTCCATGGTGAGAGGCTGTGCTGTCAGGACTTCTGTAGGGGAGGGTGTGGCTGTGGCTGATGCTCTCAGTGCCCAGATAGACCCATATTTAGCATAGTCTACCTTTTCTCATTTGCATATTTTTGAGGCAGTGATACAATGTTTGCATATAAGTCTCCACCTTAGAGATGATAGAGGACACAGGGACCACATTCAAAGGGTATCAGAGGGACTATGTACCCCCTGTCCAGTCCCTGAGCTCTGTGTTGACATAGCTCCTCCCACTGAGGAACAGTCCCACATAGAACACGCTCCTCATTGTGAACCATTTTTTGATTACACACAGACGACTTGGACCAGTTCTGGCCTTAATACATGAATGTCTTATTGCTGGATCAGTGTGGATCTCCAAAATTCTGCATTAGTGTGTTAAAAAGCCACCCCTATTTTCTGTTTTTTACAACTCACGTATAAAGAAGCCTTAGAAATATCCTCATGTACTGTAGTTCTCATATATTATTGAGTTTGGTAAATGCTGATAGAATAGGACATTTACAGTTACCATAGCCACATCTTATTTGAGATATTTTCATGGAAAGAATAAGATAAGGCCCTCACAGGAAATACCTCCAGCTCTCTTTGCACCAATTCCTGGGCCAGAAGTTCTTGAGCTCGTGAGTCCCATGCACCCCCTACTGCACAGCCTGTTCTTTGGGGAGGGTCATGTCTTGGCTCACAGGGCATGGACTTCTCAAAGTCTCCAGTACAGAATGAAGGCCGTGCCCTGACTTCAGGATGTTCCCTTAAGGACACCAAGTGCTTCAACATCTCTGCAATGAGAAGTGGCCTTATTAAACCCCAGTGACTCTGCAGGAATTCCAGGCCAGTATTCTATGAAGCCACCAAGGAACCCTTTCCTGCTGATGCCAGATGCACTAACACAGCTAAACATCACTGAGCTCAAAACCTCTTAGGAACATTGGGGGCCTCTGAGGTGCTCAGGTTCCTCTGTTTTAAAGTCCTATCTGAGGATCCTTGTATGTGGCTCTACTCCTGCTGCACTTCTACTGCTCAATAAATCACACACGGATACACAGAGATACACAGAGACACACAAAGAAAGATGATTTTTATGATAATGAACTGCAGGTCTTCTTTTTCCCTGTGCCTAGCACATGGGCAATACCCCCATATGAATTCTAGGGCTGGCTGTGACTTTCTAGGTGACTGAGATCTGCTCTGTGAGGGTAACACTGATGTTTTGTCCATTCTTGATGTTGCATCCTGATGATTATCTTCTCTTCTGACCTCCTGACTCCTGGAACTCAGACCCCAGAATCCTGCATTCACACCAACTATTCAATGTGCAGTGACCCACGGCTGCCTCTGTGAGTTGTTGAAGAAACCACCATTTCCTCCTGCACTGGGATCTCAGTTCAGCCTTCATGGACATTCCTGCACTGATCAAAGCCTCATGGGTGAGGAATAACACACCCCTGTCATTACTCAGGCGCCCTTTACAGGGCAGTTTTGTCTAGGGCTAGTCATGGGTGAGCTGAGGTGATGTTCTCATATGGGCTCTGAGTTCTCCAAATCCAGCAGCCCAGCAGGCACTGAGTTCTTGCTTAGTTCTAGGGACAGACAAGAACATATTTTTCAAGTTTATTTGTGTGAGGAATGTCACAGGCGGATCCAATGTAGAACACTGAGAAAATTCCCATCTTTAGGACCATGAACCAGTTTTGAATTATCAAGCATATGTCATTTATGTGTCCCACCACCTCATTTAAGTCACTGCATATTTACCTTCCATTTCAATCTTGGTGCCATAATGTATTTTCACATTGGAACCTGCATCAAGAAAACATTCTTGTGAAGAAAATATTCACAGTAATTTTAAGAGTTGAATAAATCTGGACTTCCGCCAAGATGGAGGTGTAGGTAGAAGCACTGTGCCTTCTCACACAAACAAGTTTAAAAATAACAAAGTTTTAGCAAGAAAAGTGCAGCCAAACCACAGAAAATTGAACTACCCGTAAGTCTGACAACAATGAACCCTTCAGCCAAACCAGTAAGAGGGGCAGAGCCAGCAGCAGAGCGGGGTCGGGCAGGAAATATCCACCAGACCAGCCTGGGCACGCAACCCAGGTGTGCCAGCAGCCATGGGTGAATCCCAGGTGTGGAGAAACGGGCAGACCCACTGAGGGCTCAAGGCGGTGGAGTCACTTAGGGCTGACCAAAGTCACACAGTCAAGCGCAGATAAACTGGTGAAGGAGCGAAGCAGTGAGACAGACAGTGCAGGGCCCAGTGGCAGAAAGTGGCAGAGGGGACCGCCATTGCCCCTCTCTGACCCCGCCCCTACATGCAGCATCACAAACCAGCGACCTGGGTGGCCCCACCTTGGTGAACACCTCCTCGTATGTAACAGGCATGAACAGATCAAAACATGGCTCAAGAACAACTCAGAGCCCCAGAGCCAATAAATCTATGCTATAAAGAAATAGCCAAACTTTCAGATGCACAGTTCAAAACACTGGTAATCAGGATGCTCACAGAACTGGTTGATTATAGTCACAAATTAGAGGAACATATGAAGGCTAAACTAATTGAAATGAATAGAAATGCACAGGAAACCAATAGTAATGGAAAGAACACTGGGGCTCAAATCAAAGAAGTGGATCAGAAAGAGGAAACAAATGACCAAACAGAAAAGGATGAAGAAACAAGAATTCAAAAAAAATGAGGAGAGACTTAGGAACACCCAGGACATCTTTAAATGTTCCAACATCTGAATTATAGGGGTACCAGAAGGGGAAGAGGAACAGCCACGAGTGGAAAACTTATTTGAACAAATAATAAAGGAGAATTTCCCCAATCTGGCAAAGGAAATAGACTTCCAGGAAATCCAGGAAGCTTAGAGTCCCAAAGAAGTTGGAACCAAAAAGGAACACACCAAGGCACATCATCATTATATTAGCCAAGATTCAAATGAAGGAGAGAATCCTAGAAGCAGCAAGAGCTAAGGGGACAGTCACCTACAAAGGAGTTCCCATCAGACTGTCAGCGGATTTCTCAAAAGAGACCCTACAGGCAAAAAGGGGCTAGAAAGAAGTATTCCAAGTCATGAAATCCAAAGACCTACAACCAAAATTGCTCTATCCAGCAAAGTTTTCATTTAGAATGGAAGGACAGATAAAATGCTTCTCAGATAAGATCAAATTCAAGGAGTTCATCATTAGCAAGCCCTTATTATATGAAATGTGAAAGAGACTTATCTAAGAAAAAGAAGATAAAAAAGATGAACAGTGAAAGGACAGCAAACTCACAGTTATTAACAACCACATCTAAAACAAAAGCAAACTAAGAGGACAGCTAGATCAGGAGCAGAACCATAGAAATGAAGATCTCATGGAAGGTTAGCAGCAGGGGAGTGGGAGGAGGAGAAGAGGGGAGAAGGTAGAGAAAATAAGTAGCATAGACGGTTGGTAGAAAATAGAAAGGGGGGCAAGAATAGTATAGGAAATGTAGAATCTAAAGAACTTGAGACACGTGTTCATGAACTAAAGGGGGGAATGGTGGGAGAGGGGTGTGCAGGGTGGAGGGAAATAAAGGGCAGAAATAGACTGTAATGGCATAATCAATAAAATATATTTTAAAAAGAGTTGAATAAATCTTTATTATTTCAGTAAATGTTCATCATGAGCTTTTCCACATGTAGGCAATTTGCAGTTTGTTGTTGACCAAAATCAGTGGGAGAAAAATCACTTGGAAGATCAGTGACTGAGAATCCAAAACCTGCGCTGTTTCATCAGATTTGTCTGCTGGAGCTGTCTAGGCAAGCTCTGATCACATGCAGTCCTTCTCTATCCATCCTCAGTGATCTTTCCTGAGTCTTCTTGAGGTTCAGATGTTTTTAATGGGCCTCACAGGTCTAGGGCACATGAAATGTTAGGTAACAGCTTTGCAAATTTTAACATGGCATGAAGTAATGTGATCCTCCTGTTTGTTCACTGATGAATGGTTGAATTTACATTTATATGAAATTTATCCTCATAGTACAGACTGTGAGATGTCTCAAAGCCCATAAGCTGTGGTTTTAGTCAGTAGACCCAGGAGAGCTGTTGCTGTCAGTCATACTGGTTGAAGGGTGACAACCAGGGTGCTCAGGACAGAAGGAGACCTCTGTACTAGCTCTAAAATCTAGTTCACAAGCAGGAAGTGGTTAACTTTCCCTCAACTGTTTGTTTCAGTCAGTACCTTGGTGGAGTGAAGGGTGCCCATCCTCATCGGGGAAAACTGTCTGCTTTTCAGAGCCACCATTTCAAAGGTAAGTTCACCTGTAAACACACTGGGAAAAACCCATGAATGACTGTCAGCCAAATGTTTGGGCATTTTGTGATCTAGTCAAACTAACACAAAACCACCAGTCAAAACAGAGCTATTTAGGGGAAGAGTTCCGAGTCAGAGATAATATGCATCTGCTCAATGCATGTAGGTAAAGGTGAACCAACCACTTTAGACTCATTGTGGTGAATACTTTCTTAGGGACCTACATGTTGAATGTCAATTGAAGAGGAAGCTTCGTGCCAGATATGAAACTAAACCTTAACATCCTTGTGTCCTGTGCCTGCAAAACCTGTGGGCCCTGACTGCCCCCTGGTGTTTACAGCCCCACATGGAGGAAGGTTTGTGTCTGCATTCACACTGACTTCCCATCTCTGTGTCTTTTGTGCAGTAATAACAGGGTGATGTCTAGGCTCTTAGGCTGTTCATTTACAGATAGGCAGTGCTTTTGGAACCACCTCTTGAGATGGCAAATCTGCCTTTCACAGATGCAGCATATTCTGTTCTGTGACTGTTACCTTTGTTTCTAATAAAATCTATCCATTCCAATTCTTTTCTTGGAGCCTGACAGATAAAGTTCATATATTAGTCACTTAAGGTAAATTCAGAACATGTGCAGGACAGTCTCAGAGACCCTCCAGGCTGCCTCAGGTCCCCAACAGACTCCACCAACTGCACCTCATATTTCACACCTGCAGACAAGAAATTTTCATTAAAAGCATCAGAGAAAAGTGCCCAGCTCAGGT